AGTTTGAATTTCTAAACAACCTCTGGTTTTACAAACTTTGCACCAAATCACTACTCGTGTTATTTCTATCAAAGACTCTCTTAGATATGAGACCCCTCTCACTCCTCCTCAATCACACAACAGTGATGACAATGAAAACAATCAAAGAAGGAGACACACTTCAATAAACAGAATACACTCTTGCTTAAAAGCTCATGAGTGATTCACAAATACAACTCAACTAAAACAGTCCAGCCCTAGTATCAAGGTGATACAAAAGCGGCTCACAAACAACAATGAACAAACAAAACCCTAAGAACTCTCACAAAAATACGACTGCTCCATTCTTTAGGTTGAGACTTCTTATAAATAGCCTTCAAAAAGTATATACTTGATTAGCAAATCGGGTTAAATTAAATAGCACATCCATAATATTCTAGAAGAGAATACATTATTAAATATAGATCGATAATATATTATTTCCTAAAGTGTAGATCCAAATCAAATCTTCAGCAGAATCAAATCAAATATCATGTTTCCTTAAATGATATGTCATCCTTTCTTAAGAAACAAGGCAAAGATAAAGTCGACATTTGCATCTGAAAACACACGTTTCTTGAACTACAATATACGTGAAATAAATCTTCAAAGAATCTTCAGATATCTCACTCTTAAAAACAAATCTTCTAATACAGCACGCCACGATGTCGCACAAGCATGTCACAACATCTGATCCGACATCTTACAATTTCACTTATTTTAACAAAATGCTGTCAATCACAATACAAACAACCTAACAATATATATATATATATATATATATATATATATATATATATATATATATATATATATATATATATATATATATATATATATATATATATATATATATATATATATATATATATATATATATATATATATATATATATATATATATATCATAATTTATTTGTTATATGTCTTATTTATTTATATTTTATTTAAAATATTTCTTAAATATTATGATTTATTTATTTATGTCCTGATTTATTTATTTATGTATTAAATATCATGACTTATTTATTTATGTCTTATTTTATTTAAATATGTACTAAATATTATGACACATTTATTATGTCTTATTTTATTTAAATAAATCTTAAAAGTTCTGACTTATTTATTTATGTCTTATTTGAAATAAGTAAATTTATTTAAATATTTTATTTATTTAAAATAAAATAAAACATAAATAAATATTTACCTATTTTAAATAATGCATGAAAAAATATTTATTTATTTAAGATAATGTACAAATCAATATTTATATATTTAAAATAAGACATAAAGACATAAATATAAGTACATAGAAATATATAGAAATAAGTCTTAAATAGTATGACTTAAATATATTGTTTTTCAAATTTATCAAATGTATTATTTTTCAAATATTTTATAAATTCAAATTCAATAGTAATTAATTAATTTAATAGTAATTCAATAAAATAATAATTAATTTATTTCTATTTGATTTCTATTTTTAAAATCTATTTAATTATTCAATTTAATTAATTCATTGTTTCATAACACTACAAGAAAACTTGAATTTTCCTTAGTGATTTAGTGACGCGGTAAACATGTGGGAAAAAAATAGGTTGCAACGTGTAACCCGCGTCACTATAATATTTAATTAATATATTAAAATCTGCAACGATGAGTGTTGTTTTTAAGAGGGAGGGAAGTTTGAATTTTTCAAAAATTTAGTTGTGGCGTGTTAAACACATGGGAACAAAAAAGTCTTTGTATTTGCGACGTGGGTAACATGTCACAAACTTCCCTCATGGAAAACACGTCGCAAGTTTAAAAATAATAAAGGTGGTCAGGTTTTATTTACTTTTCAGACACATTAATGATGAAATTGACTGTTACAGAGTTCCCATGTGAATCTCACGTCGCAAATGGGACACATAAATGTTTTAAACTTTTTTTTTTCCGTTGGGTTGGCCTTTAATAATGCAACGTTAATATATTAAATGTTGGGAAAGTTCCGACGTGTATCTCACGTGGCAACTTTCCCATGGGGCAATCACGTCGCAAATGAGCATTACTTTAATGGATTTCGACGTGGTTTTCATGAGGGAACATTCCCACGTGTCCACCACGTCGCAAGTGTCACTATATATTAAACGCCCAGTATTCTTTCACACATCCTCCTTTTCCTTCTTTCTTGCTCCTTTCCTCCTTCTCCTTCTGTGTGTTACTAATCTCCTCCATTTTTGAATCAAAGCTACACAAATATTTTGACATAAATGTTATTTTCTTTGTTTTGGTTTTTGTTTTACAGTTTATTTTATTTTTTTCTTATTAATTTTTTTTTTTCAGATCGAAGATTAAGAACTTGCTCCATTGAAGCTTTAGGAATTTGCTCCATTGAGGTATTTACACAATTAAATATATTTATTTTTCAAATTTATAGTTGATATATGAAATGTTTGGTTATTGATTATAAAACTTTAGATTTATTGTTGTTGTATGTAAATATGTAATGTTGTTTAGGTGTTTGAAAGATAAAATTAAAAATATTAGAAGATATATTATATTAGAAACAAAATATATATTTTTAGAATTAAAAACAGAATATATATTAGAAAAATATGTAATAGAATATATATTAGAAACAAAATATGCAATGTTGTATTTAAATATGTATTAAATTTTTAAAAACAGAATATATAATATATTAGAAAAAGTAGAATTTTTAAAAATATTTTTAGTAAACAAAATTGTAAATAGAAAAAATTAAAATGTATTTTTTAGAAAAACATAATGAATATGTATTATATTTAAAATGTGCTATTTTTAGAAAAAGTATTTTTATTAAAAAATAATGAATATGTATTATATTTTAAATGTGTTATTTTTAGTAAACAAATTATATATTATATTATAGAATATTATATTATAGAATACTTATTATATTTTAGTAAACATAATATATATTATTTTAGAAAAAACATATTTTTAAAAATAATGAATATATATTATATTTTAAATGTGTGATTTTTAGTAAATAAATTATATATTATATTTTAGAATATGTATTATATTTTAGTAAACATAATTTATATTATTTTAGAAAAAATAGATTTTTAAAAATAATGAATATATATTATATTTTAAATGTGTTATTTTTAATAAACAAATTATATATTATATTTTAGAATATTATATTTTGAGAATATGTAGTATATTTTAGTAAACATAATTTATATTATTTTAGAAAAAATAGATTTAAATTTGTGTCGAAATAGATTTAAAATAGATTTTAGTAAACATATTTTATTAGGTTGGTGTTGAAATAGAAAAAATAGATTTAAATTTGTTAAATTAATGTGAAAAGAATTATATTATTTTGCATATTAAAATCACATATTTTATTAAAATGATATACAACGATAGTACAAATGTGCAGTATGAAATATTTTTGTTACTATCGTAGTTGGATATATAATGATAGACGCTTTAGCATGCAAAATTCAAGGATATGGGGTCAAATGCAATTGGACAAAAAGAAGTATATTTTGGGACCTCCCATATTGGAAAGATAATTTATTGCGACATAATCTTGATGTTATGCATATTGAAAAGAATTTCTTCGATAATATATTTAACACAGTGATGGATGTTCAAGGCAAAACAAAAGATAATAAGAAGGCTAGAAGGGATATGAAAATTTTGTGTGATAGAAAAGAGTTGGAGTTGAAGTCTCGGCCTAATGGAAAATTATTAAAACCTAGGCTTCTTACAGTCTAACTTCCCAAGATGCTAAAGCGGTTTGTCGATGGTTAAATGAATTGAGAATGTCGGATGGTTATGCTTCAAATTTAGCAAGGTGTGCTGACACCAAAACTGGAAAGTTGCATGGAATGAAAAGTCATGATTGTCATGTTTTCATGGAACGATTGCTTCCAATTGCGTTCAGTTCACTACCCAACCATGTGCTATATCCGCTTATTGAAATAAGTCAATTTTTCAGAGATATTTGTGCGTCAACTTTAAAAGTCGATAGCATCATTAAGTTGGACCAAAATATTCCAGTTATTCTATGCAAGTTGGAACGAGTTTTTCCACCTGGTTTTTCGACTCTATGGAGCATCTACCTATGCATCTTGCATATGAAGCCTATCTTGGTGGCCCCGTTCAATACAGGTGGATGTATCCCTTTGAAAGATTCATGGGTGATTCAAAGCGATCAGTGAAAAATAAAGCTGAAGTTGAAGGATCAATATGTGCATATTACTTGCATCGGGAAATATCACATTTTTGCAGTCATTATTTCAATCATTTGATGTTAACTCCAAGAATCATAAGGAATGAATTTGATGTTAACAAAAGAAGTCAGTTTACCTTGTCAATCTTCGGTCTTCCTGGTCGCCCCACTGGAAAGGATAATGTGCATTGGCTGATCCAAAAAGAATTGCAATCTACACATGTTCATGTTCTAATTAACTGTATTGAAGTTAGCCCATATCTTGAGTAAGTATACCCCTAACGTAACTACCTATCTGGCTTTACAAATTGAATTATTGCACTCTAACTAATAATATGTTTCTTTATAGGGCATTTAACGCCTCCTATTTTCAAAGCACCGGTGAACAAGCAACTACCGATCACATACATGCATCGTTTCCATCATGGTTCAAGGATTAACTGTCATGCATTGTTGCATCGACTCAAGAAATACTTCATTTGAGAAACTTATCTAGAGGGCCTATTCAAAGAGAAATTGAATGGCACACATACTTTGTGAACGGCTATAAATTTCACACCCAGGCTTGGACAGAAGGGAAAAAAACCATAAATAGTGGTGTATTTGTTAAAGGAGTTACAGATGGTGGTGAAGATGACTTCTATGGCGTTGTTACGCATATTTACGAGTTGGCATACAATTACTTGGACTCGGAAAATAGAGTTGTCTTGTTTTATTTTGATTGGTATGGGCACAAAAATAGATAAGAAATATAATTGTTGATATTCGAATGGACAGAAGGTACAAAGAGTATGACCCTTTCATAATGTCACATATCGTTAAACAAGTTTATTATGTTCCGTACCCTTCAATTCAGTCACGTAAACGTGGATGGTGTGTTGTAATCAAAACAAAACCATTGGGTCATATTGAAACTGACGATCTAGTGGAAGATGTTGCTTACCAAGACGATGAAATTTCTCAAATTAATGATGTGGTTGAAGTTGAAGAAATTACAAATTTGTGTGATACATTGGCCGAGGGTCATCAAATTGATGCATATGTGTTGTTGGTAGATAATAATGTGGACGAAGAGCATGAAGAGCTGAGGACATTATTAGATCAGATGATGAAAATAATATGGATGAAGAGCATGAAGAGTTTGAATAGATAGTTTTTATATGTGTTCGAACAATTTTTATTAATGTATTATTTGTTTTATATGAATGCAAATGATTTTTACGTGTGTATATATATATATATATATATATATATATATATATATATATATATATATATATATATATATATATATATATATATATATATATATATATATATATATATATATATATATATATATATATATATATATATTATGTTGAAAATTGTGTTGAAAATAGTCTTGATTTATTTATTGATAACTCTTTTAAAATAGATACAATGCCACCCCGAACTGACAAGGGTAAGGCTAAGGAAACCCAACCCCGTTCGAGAGCTAGAGTAGTTGAGGTACCGCCCTCACCCATGTATGCTTCTCGCCCACAGACACAGGCAGATCTAATGTCCGTAGACACTTCACATCCATTTACGACATTACTCTCCTCCTCCCAAACGGTTCCATCCGGGAATCCATCATTTATTAGTCCATTTGGGGGATCCTTCATGCATCCGCTTGGGGATCTAATTTTCCCCAGGTACCGTCTACGTTCACGCAACAACCTGGGGGATCTAGTTTTCCTGGGGGAGCTAGTTTTCTTCCTCAACATTATTCCTTCACACAGCAGCCTAGGGGATCTAGTTTTCCTCAGCAGACTCCCTTTGCACAGCCTGGGGGTCTGGTTTTCCTCAGCAGTATTCCTTCACACCGCAGCCTTTAGGATCTAGTTTTCCTCAGCAGACTCCCTCCACGCACCAACCAGGGGGATCTGGCTCCCGCATTCCACACCCCACACATATACCTGCACGTCAGCAGTAGGATGACCATCCTATTCAGGAGGATGACGATGTTCAGGATGAGCAGACAAATCCTGTTGCCGAGGAGCTTTTGGTGGTTGAAGGACGACATCTGATTAGGCTTGAGGGATCTGGGTATGTTTTTAAGTTATAATATTTATTTAACTATATATTTCCATTTTATGTTTAATACTCATTCAAATTATTGTTATTTAGTTTAGATCCGTGTCGGCCTACTACAAAAGCAGTAAACTGGGTCATTCAATTGATGTATACAAAACTCATTAAGTCTTTCGGAGAGCTCCCAGATACTGAGAAAGATATATGGTTAGATAAATTCAAGGTAAATTGTATTTTTATTATAGTTATGTTATTTTATAACTATTTTTTGTTATATATATCTAACATTTTATTTGACTGTCATATAACTTGCAGGAAAGGTGTACTTGGCAAAAATTTGACGAGTTCAAAATTAAAAAAAAAAATTAGAAGTAAGGTATCTAGCAGATTATCTGACATGCTCAGGAATGCTAGACAACATTGGGAAAGAGATCAAACTCGTACTAACTGGATAGGCGAGGAAATATTCGGGGAACTTATTGAGTGGTGGAAGACATAAAATTTTCAAAGAAGATCTGAACATGCTAAAAAGATGACGACATCTAAAGCAGGTGGCTGTCTTAGTACAGTCAGAAGTATCAGTATCGGCGAACATCGTCGACGAATGATAATTATAACTATTTTTTAAGTTCTATTTTGTATTATTATATATTTAATTAAACTTAATTATTTTAATTAGAAAAAGGATTTGGGGAGGGAGCCACGAATTAATGAGCTATTTGTGAAGACTCGAACAAAAAAATCGGGGGAGTTTGTTGACGGTCGTTCCAAATCAACCTTGGTAACTTGTTTATAGTTGAATTATTTTATTTCATAATTATTGTATATAATTAAATTGTTTAAATTATATTTAATTTAATTTAATTTTGTTAATGTGTGTGTAGGAGTTGTACCAGACCTTGCTTGCCCAATTTCTAACTGAAAATCCTCAATATATGCTGATTGGGAATGCACCGCTTGATCCACGCGTCGATCTTTATATTTGGAATTTAACAGTAGGCCGGAAGGGAGTCAATGGATGTTTTTTTGGTCTGGGGTCTTTGGCTGACGATTATAGAAAAGGGGACCGAACTTTATTTCAAAGACTCGATGATGGGGAAGGAGGATCTCGTCCGGTAGAATTGACACCAGAAATGTTGGCAACAGTGAGACAGTTAGCTCTATCTGAGGCGAGACGAGAGGCGGAGGCACGTGAGGCGGCTTTAAAGGCCGAAATGGAGAATATTAGAAATAGACAAAATGCTGAAATAGAGGAAATAAGAAAGCGACAATCAGACATGGAGGCACAAATGCGACAATTTTTTTGTCTCACAATCAAATTATTCTGTCCAAGATAATGAAGAAGACGAAGATGTTATATTTAGTACTGACGATGAATAACGTTTTTTTTTATTATTATTTATGTTTGTGACGTGAATAGTACGTGACAACTATTTTTTTATTACTTTTTATGTTTGTGACGTGAATTTTATGTGACTAAATATTTATATTTCTTTAATGTATATATTTAAAAAATTAAATAATTTAATTGAAAATTATTTTAATTTTTTATTTTATTATTTATTAATTCATTGTTTTCTGTTTATATTTTTTTTTATTATTAAATTTTACAGTGAAGTGGAAACCATGTCACTAATATAAAATATATTTTTAATTGTGACATGCAAACCACGCCACTAATTAGTGACGTGAGAAATCCATGGGAACATTTCAATATAACGTGCTGCCGACATCTTGGGAAAGATGATTTCCCACGTGAAAATCAAGTCACTAATTAGTGACTTGATTTTCACGTGGGAACATTTTCTATTATTTTGGTTGTTTGCGACGTGAATCTCATGTCACAACTTAGTGATGTGTCTTTCACGTGGGAAAATGTTTCCGCCATTGCTTTTTCGACGTGCTTCACCCACGTCACAAATTTTGCTTAGTGAAGTGTTTTTTTTGGCTTAGTGACGTGAAAAACATGTGAGAAAGTGCAATGTTTCTTGTAGTGTAATAACTATTTAACATAAGATTTTAATCAACAAATAGCAAATGATCCGGTTATTGAGATGTTATGCATGGGCGTGATAGTGTTAGTTCTAATCTTCTCTGTGTTTATTTTGTTTTTTTATTTATTTATTTTAAAAACTAGTACAGTTTCATAATAAATTTTAATGATAGGAAATAATTATTTCAACTGCCACATAGTCTAGTGAAAGAGGGCCTTTTTGCACAACAAAGATTGTGAGTTCAAATTCTTGCAAGTACAAAAGACAATGCCACAACATTTGTTGATGATTTTGTTGAATGATGCACTAAAATAGGAGAACCTAAACATAATCAACTGAAAATGATTTAAAACAAAGGGTAATGTTAACTTGTGCCCCAAGGGCACAGGTTAAGGAACCCACTTATAGTAAATTTGCATTGAAAAAACAATTTAAAAATTAATTTTATATTTTAATTAAAGTCTGTACACAATTTCCAATATAATATTTCTCAATTTAGTTCTTAACATGTGCCCTTAGGGCACAAGTTAACATTATCCAAAAACAAATACAAATACTTATAAAAATGACATGAACCCAGGATGTCATCAACAACCACTTTCTTGTTGTATATAAATTGAGACTCAATTCCCTCAATATGAGGTAACGGTCATGATCAACGAAAGACCATCAATATTGATAGTCCTCTTACACACCCACATCTATTTCAACATGTTCTCAAGAGCTTGATATCTTATCTTTCTCCCTAACAACTTCATAATCATCCCCTTCATAATCATTGGACAAAAGGAAATATGGAAAATCATATTAACTAAATTGTATATCTTTCGTGCCCTTCCTTCTTTCCTCCATAGAAGTGGTTATCACTTGTACATAACACTGAGTGCATGTAATCCTTGTGTTTCGACTCATGCTTTGTCTCCTCAAACCAAATTATCATATTAAAATTTTGTTTAACATGAAAGATTGAAAGACTTAGATTTGGCTCACGTTTTTCACAATATATCCAACATTTATTATAACTTATAGCATATATAAAGACAAAATATGGTGTTTTTGTGTAGCCTATTTTTATTTCAATTATATTCTTTTATTTTTTATTTTAAAATTCAATTTTTTTATCACCTTCTCTTTTATTAACTGTTATATGATAATTTGCACAACTATTTCATTTAATTTTTTTTATATAAAAGTTAAATTAAAATAAAAAATAAATACATCAAAAAATAGCGTTTATAGCTTAATACTAAAAAAGCTGTAATATATAAAAAGTAATTGTAACAAACTAGTTGTTTACAATCCAGCTGGCATTAGAAAAGTTCACGAGAATGGTCACTATTTTTACTCAAATATCCTTGGACATTAAATACTTTGATTTATGTGTATGAATGGAGAATCAGTGGCAGTATTTATGCTCTAAATGTGACATACTTTTGTACTATAAAAAGTGTCACAATTTATGACTAACATCAAAATGAATATAATATTTATTGATGTCTAAGCAAACTTTAAAACAATGTCTTGACAAAACTAATGTTTAATGCTAATAATAATAAAATTTATTAATATTATTTTATTTAAATTGTATTTTTTGGTATAAAATATATTAATAAGAAATTGAATCACTCGTCTTTAAGTGTATTTGGTTCGGGGTAGATAAAATGGAGGAGAGCGGAGGAGAAAAGATGAGAAATTTTTAATTAAATATGTTTGATTCAAATTTTAAGAGAAAAAATGAGAAAAGTAAAATTTCTCCCAAAACGCATTTTTTACTTGCCTCTAATTTGAAATAATTTGAAGGGGAGGAGAAGGAATATGAGTTTGGATATTAAAAAAGTTATTATATTTACTAAAATATCTTCGGTTTAATTTTAGTATTTCAAAATTATTCGTTTTTTTTTTATTATTTTCTTCGGTGTGATTTTCTCGATTGCTTTCATAATTTTATTATAATTGTTATCTACATTCAAATTATTTTAGAATTTTTGTACTTTATAAAAATCATAATCATTGCATTTTTTTTTCAATTAAAAATATTATATTTAGTTAAATTCATTTTTTATTCTAATTTTGTTATGTATCATATTATGTTTTTTTATATCAA